TGCATAACTAATATCCCACTCAAATTTAAAGTTTTGATGGAACCACTACCATGTTTTATAGCAAATATGCATTCCATTTTAATGCCGATAACTACAAAAGTCAACAATGCAATATGAAAATACAGTTTCACCTTACTGAAAAAAGATGTGAATCTCTCTCATGAAGATCTAAGCCATGTCTTTGAGATGCTGTATATCAGTGTACTGATATGAACTCATCTTGGTCACTTATAGCAGCATACTGCACATGTCCTTATGAGACCTTGCTATCACCATTGGACTACTGGAGAGCTTCCAAATTGATCCAACTCTAATACTTTGTTCCAAAAACCAGACTAGACCTGAAAATATATAACATGTTTCACTTAATTCTAAAAAAAGGAAGATGTAGGCAAATGAAGTTAAAATGTGTTAGATATGGTGATTTCAAAATAACATTCAGGTTGCAAATATGGTTAAAAAAGGTAAACTTGATAGAGTGACACTCAAAGATGTGAAGCAATGTGCATGTATTAAAGTGACAAATGCATCCTAAAAATAGATGAAGTTTCTACAAGCATATTTAGCCATTTACAGGTTAAATAACTAATCAGGTAGAGTATGTATCATAAAGTTTAAGGCAATGTTGGAGCGGTGAGGTTTGATCATTGGTGCAAACATTGATACATACCAGTATAGTGGAAAGTCAAATGACAATGTACCAAATTAAAATTTATTACTATATGCAATCCTATTCATGAAGGAAAAACAATTTTAGATATTGTGAGTGAATATAGCAAAATGTAGCCACACAGATCAACTATAGGTACCAATAGATCCTATATCATCAACTAAATGTGAAATTTTCATCCCGAAAACTTGTAAACAAGGATGGATATTTGCATGTGTGGGACATATGCAATGTACTTGTTAAAATCACATGTGCAAACATGATTCAAATAATCTGTTTGAACATTTTTAGTCTATTTTTAAGAGTCTTGGCTACCAAGTTATTAAGTTCAATGATTCAATGATTCAATGGAATCCAATATCAGCTGATGCTGCAATACCGCCCTCTGTCAAAGTACTAAATTGAAATGTGTTACCATACAGAGGCATATTCATGATGAAAATAACATCTTGGGATATTTTAAGTGCACACAGTCAAAACTGAGCCTTACAGATTCACTATAGGTACCATGTCAACCTAACAATGTCAACTTTTGATTCCAAACATTACAAAATATATGCATATTTGTTCATGTCAGCTATGTAACCATGTTAGGATCAGTTGTAGAAAGTTAAATTCAAATAATCTGTTTGAATATTACTTATGTAATCTTTAAAGTGTCAGATAACAAATATTATTAGTCATTAATAATGCATAAAGCAAAATGGATCATGAGAATTCCCATAATATCATCTGGGCTACAATGTCGCACTACATCAATCAACATCTTAAAGAAACTAAACAATAAAATGGAATGCATTCTGTGTTCAACTTACATCATTTTGCTGTTTTCTTACATGCAATGGTAAATATACCTGGGTAAAGTATATTTTACCCCTCTGACCTGTATTTCATTCTCTGACAGCTTAATATGATTTTGTAGAGAACTTGAACAGGTTCTAGTATAAAGTCTTCATCTTTGTCCTCTCACTAAATACCCTATAACTATGGTTATAAACAATTACTGATAGCTATACAAGCAGATATGTGTTACTCAGGAAGTCACCCCATCATAAACACATAAATTAACTGTTTGAACCCCAAATAAATAGTTTCAATGACCTAAAGGTACAAAGCAAAGTAGAATTTTGTCTTCATGTATTTTAAATGAGGGTCTCATTTTGACTAATAAAGATATTTTCTTAGATCAAATTTGACAAATATCTATCATTTGAGCTTGTATATGGTGTAGGAGTATATATATGCTGATATCATTTAATATCATTCCCAAAAAATATTATATATGTGAATACTTGGTGGAAATTTTTTATTTTTTAATTGTTTTTTTAAATTTCATTTAAATTTTTAAAATTAAAATTATTTTTTTACTTCTAATTTCATTTTTATATTTTTAAAGTCATTATACATAACATATTAAAATTTCATGTATATGTCATTAATAATAAAAAATTTATATCAGTTTCAAGTTTTTACTGACAGGCCATAGTACACAATTAATTTTACTATATGTTCTCTACATTTGTTCCTCAGTACTGAACTTTCCACTGTGTGACAATCAATACAAATCATATGTTAATCTAAAATACCTTCAAAGATGACTTTACGGTTTAATTCTTGTCAAGGGTTGACCTGCATTTTTTTGAGAGGCTGAATTGTAAACAAAACACCAGGCAACGGAACACAGATTTCACTTCCGGATCATCACCATGACCTTATTACTCAATGTACACAGAGACAACCACACCATAAGCTCACATTTTAAAGAATAATCAATTGCCTTTAAATCCTTACCAAGAATGCCAAAATTTAACTCTAGTATCACCACCAAATTTAGACCGGAAAAAGTGATCTAAAAATAGACTGGGTACATTCGTGGGTACTGAACCGGATTTTATTAATTGTGTACCGATTCCATATACATGGAATGCGGTTTATTAATTGTAGGCGACTATTTGGCGCTGCCCCGAGAAGTTCCGACTAAACAAATATTTGTGAATTCACGTATCGAAATCATTTTACCAGCCCCGCCTGAGACCCGGTTGCTATTGATACAGCTCCAACAATTTCGATTGGTTGCCGTGGTCACAAACCCATCAACACTGATGTCTTAAATAGCATTAACAGAATATTAGTACATGTAAAACAGTTTTCTTAGCGATATCTGCCTCCTATTACATTGAGGGTATATCATATTTCTTGTAATGATATCCTGAAAACGAAGCATAAATGCTAGATAGACTTGCCTTCTTCTGGTGCTAAAGGCACTTCTAACCAATAAAGCGTAACATATTTCGTGCAATAATAAAAAAATACGTTTCAGTGCAATATTTAAATTTTCGGCCCTTGTTCATTCTTGCGACCTGGTGTTACCTACATTCATATAAAAACATTAATTGTGGAATTTAAAATTTCTGAAACGATCTTTCTCGTCTTCGCCTTAAAAAACCGTTTCACTGATAACATTAAGATTTTTTTTGTCTCTGCTTGGCTGAGTTAATGTTGTGCAATATAATTAAAGAGGAGCAGAGCCCAGATTTATATTTAAACTCCACCTCATCGTTGCAAAAACAGTCCCTGCGTACGTTCATGCCAGACAGTGCATTAGGTGACTGAACGTTTTCTGGAACTAAGGCCGTGATTCCACGTTGGCTTCGAGTTGGCACTGCTATAACAGCGTGGTCCCAACTGTCGAGCTATATCTGGCCCATATTAAAATTAGATTTCCTGTATTCGAGGATTTCTATTCAAAATATTCATGGACAAGTGGAACAAAATCACTATCAATGTTGGCATCACTGGGCATCCGTTCCAATACCCCGTTCGCAAATTAACAATCACACCAACTTGGTCACAATCCCTTACGTATGTGTAATGATAAATTTAATATTGAACACACACACACACACACACACACACACACACACACACAAACACACACACACACACACAAGACAGTTGAACATCTTTCTCGATAAAAGCTAAATACTATATATGTCATATAGTCTGTAACTATACGAGATTTATCAGTGAGTGATATTTGAGACGAAAAACTAAAGTGTTGATTTTAAAAAAGGATCTCAAATGGGTAATACTTTAATATTGTATTTATGACACGAGTTGAAAAATGTCCAGATTTTGCAAGCCTTGACTCGCACAAGCTGGCATTATTCAACGTGTTTCATAAAAATACTATTAAATAATCACTCATTTGAGATTCTTTTTGTCACATAATGTGTATTTCAATGCAAATTATTTAGATGGAAAGAAGAAAGGATGATTTCGTTCAATCTGAGAGGCGTTGCACTTTTCATTTGTGGTGCGTAAAAGACAGTCTCAACCAAAGTTGAACTAGCATTGACGTTTAAAAGTAGATTACAAACTATAAATCAAAAATCGGGCGTCCTTTCCGAATGAAAAAAAAAAACAAACATTTTACATTGACCAAATAATTTTCAGCACAGAAAATCCAATGTACGTTATGTTGCATTGTTGATACACTATCCGTTCGATTACAGTGACGTAAACTAAAACGTAACTTTTACAACTCAAAATTACATTGTAGCGATAATCGTATGAAAGGTTTACTAGAGGCCAAAATTCCAATATTTACTTTAATGTATGTGTGAAAGATATTCACCGTCTTTGTTTTGGAACAGTAGACTATAGGTAATGTAAACAAATTAAATTTATGACTCAAAATTGCGTCAGATTTTGACCACGTAAAAATGCATTAGTGGGATAAACTGCTCTCAGTTTGGATACCGGATTACGTCCACATTCTTCGGTGAACAGGGGTGAGCTTATTTACTTCTCTGATTTAACATTTAAGCCACTCGTATTTTTATGTTGGATATACTGATTCCCTCAACCCCCAAGCAATACCACTCCTCAGCGAATATAAACGGTTGCAGAAATATTTCGTAATAATATTTAAACGATGATATAAAAAAAACTGTACTGCACTTCCTGTAAACTGAGTCCATAGTTTTTTTGTCTTTGCATGGCGGTATCGTTTCATAAACGCTTGAGCAATAATCGCTTTGATTCTTCCTCTTCTAAATATTTCACATTCTTACGAAAATGGTGTGATGTGATTCTATTATGATTTTTAACGTAGCTTTAACAATTTTTCAGTCATATCGCTACGATGTCTGCAGTGTGGCAATTTATAGTAAGGTCTAGCACTGGGGCATAATGCCGCAGACATGTGGCACGATGTCCTACCCAGTCACATTATCCTGACACCAGGCCCTCCAGACCTAACACTAACATCTTAATATTGAGCGCCAATCGAGGTAGCTGTTAGTACCATTTTTGTAAGTGTTTGGTATGACTCGACCGGGGATAGAACCCAGAACCTCCCGCATCTGAGGCAGACGCTCTAACCACTAGGCCACCGGAACGGTCCTTACGAAAATGGTATCTTTGGTGACACCATAATTTATTGGAATAAAGGCATTTCCTAATTAATATCATTTGTGATCTTTGTGACTGCTACTCTGTTAGTTCCATTCCTTCGTTTCATTACCTGTACTGGATAGTCTAGTCAACGTTATCGACTTTTTTCCGGGCACAATATTATGTGATGACGTTTAATATTTTTCTCATAAGAATAGCACATTTTACATAGTTGTTCTTCCAGCATAAGTCGATCATTCTGTCATCATCCTTGTAATACTTATTTGAAAAGATCATGCATCTGTTGCGCCTCTTTGAGATATATGTATCATCTAATCTTTTCAAACACTCTCCATTGGTCTTGTAAAGGGATCTCATAATTGAACATATTCATAAAGTCTTTCAAAATACCACACGCACAAATCTGTGAATATTTCGCCGTTATATAAAGATCGAAATTGCCTGAGTAACCTGTTGCAGTGCTTTAAATTAAAAATTTCAATTAAAATTTAATTTTAAATTTAAATTTAAATTTTTAACATTAACAACCATTACAGTTTTACGCTAGCCGATTTTGCTAATCAAAATCTTTCATTCTTTCAATACAATTATTGTTACTACCAAAATCATGGTCGTACCGTATACTCTTGCGTGTGACGGAATGGTAAAGTTATGTGAAAAAGAAGGCTTTGACCAATATCAGAAAGCGCGGCTCAAACCACCCATAATGACACTAATAACAAAAATGATGTTAAATTGATATTTATAAGGCTGAATATATCTGTATCATGCAAGTGACGATACATTTCTATTTTTCACTTCAGCATTTACCTTTATTATTTTCAAGATGCATTTGTTGATTTTAATGTACATGGAAATATCTCAAGAAACTGAAATTTGATGGCATAAATCAGTTTTAACATTCGAAATAGTATTTGTCCCGTGCAAGCTCATTTCATTATGATTTCACGTAACAATGTGGTATAAATTGATCTGGCAGCGAGAGGCGTCGAGCGGTCTACGCCGCTAGCCTTTACAGGTCACTGACATCTCACCTCTGTCCACCTTGGTTCGATTCTCAGACTCGGCTAAAGTGGGCATGAGGAATAAAAAGCTTCTCTTGGATAGTTCATCGCAGTTTTCCAAGGGTCTACCTCCAGGAAAAGCATTATCATGTGGTGACAAATGGCCTTAAACCAGCACAACATGAACTAGTGGCGAAAATACTAATAATTTTTATCCTTTTGTAAGTGAAGCGTGTAAATGTACATAATCATGCGTTAGACAGTCAATGAAATATTTTATATTTCTTTGAAGTATGAAATTTCTGATTTGGTTGAAATCATTTCCTGACTGCAAAAATCATCTCTCCTTCCTTTTTAAGAGGCAGCCATGCCGAATTTGCCGTTTCATTTTCTTTTCAGCTAATTAAAACCGAGATGGTCACTTTTCCACGAAGATCGGCGCCGCACTGAAAATTACTATAACAACCTTTAAATCTCGCTATTTCATTAACATAATTTCAGCTGTTAAAGACGTTTTTTTTTCGTTTAAAAAAAAAGGAAAATTAATTATGTGTCTCGTGTTTGGGCCAGCTACGGGCCAGAGCTCGGTAACAACACGGACTTTTCTAAGTTTAGTTTAAGAGAAATATCAATATATACTTTAATGAAGAATGGATGGGATTTATTTCGAAGTATAATATAATGATATATGATATTTTACATAAACGTCATATAGCACTTGTAATCAGTATATTTCGGCTGTTTCCCTTGAACCAAAAAAACAGTTCACCTTTAAGAATTATATTTATTTGACATCAGTACACAATTAATAAAATCCGGTTCAGTACCCGCGCATGTAGTCCCAGTCTATTCTTAGATCAAGTTTTCCTGTCTCCGTTTGGTGGTAATACGAGAGTTCGAATTTGGCATTCTTGGTAAGGATTTAAACGCAGTTGTTTATTCTTTAGAATGTGAGCTTTTGGTGTGGTTGTCTGTGTGTATTTCAACGACAGTGCACATTGAGTAATAAGGTCATGGTGATGATCCGGAAGTGAAATCTGTGTTCCGTTGCATGGTGTTTTCTTTACAATTCAGCCTTTCAAAACAATGCAGGTCAACCCTTGACAAGAACTTCACCATAAAGTTATCTTTGAAGGTAGTTTAGATTAACATATGATTTGTACTGATTATCACAGTGGAAAGTTCAGTACTGAGAAACAAATGTAGAGACTATATAGTAAAATTAATTGTGTTTTATGGCCACATGGCACACGATGCCGACAAAAGGAAAATGGAGTTAGTCATATCATTGTTAACCTTTACTGTCGTATCATACACACACACACACACACACACACACACACACACACACACACACATACATACACACACACACACACAGATATATACATCTACATCTACCTTAGAAGTAATTCCTCCACTTCTCGGAAATGGCCAACCGATGTTCCGATCCATTCCCCGATGTGATTTTCTAAAATATCGTAATATATTAGGACTTCCTTAATCATCCATAAAATGGTATATGAATAATAGGTCTAATGTTTACATTCACTTATCATATATTTGTAATCTTGGTCATTGGTTTCTTGTTATAAGTTAAAAGCAGGGCCCCAGACAGGACTGGTGGGCCCAAGGAAAACTTATCCAGTAGGATCCAATGAATTACAAATTGGGACGTTGGTGGAAACCTTAACCGTTGTTGTACCCCAGAATTTTATCACAATTTTTCTACCATGTTTCCGTTCCTGGTTATAAATAGACAATTCAACCTTGGAAATTCCTGGCTGAAACATTAATCTTGCACTGGAGCGGAAGTGTTCTTTCTCTACGCGTGACACTGACAGGAATAAATACAAACATATCTTCTCACCGAAGAGGTGTAAAACAATCACCCCTTTTGGCACAAATCATATTTAATATCAATATGGGGGCAAATAAATTACCCTTTGTTTGGAAATGACACTTTAAGTCAATTTACATGGTTATAGAAAAATAGGAGAAGCATGGGTTCTTTTCTGTAATGGTAGGAAACAAATTGGTGTCAAAATCCATCTAATAGTGTGTTCTAAAATAGTAATTACAAAATAGATTTGGTGAAAATATAGACTCTTTATATTTCCGTTGAACATTAGTACATTAGTTGGTCCATTAAGATGCGATAATTGTATATCTTGATGTAAATTATCGACCCAATGGCATTCTCGGTCACATAATATCATGGTGTCCCACATTACAAACACTCTAGTGTTGGTACAAAAGTAATGTCATGCAAGTCGTGGCTCTTTTGTTAACTCACAGATCAGATATATGATGGAATCCCTTCTAGCAGGAACATTCAAAACGATACCAAAACAAGACCAACACATTGAAAACGAGACCAATACATTCAAACGAGACAAACGGCAACTCCGGCACAACACTGTCCAAACGACAGACAACATTTGACGGAGACTTGAGTTTCAGCCGAACTAGCCTTGACTAGAAGTAGTTGACTTAATGAACTACAAACAAAACAACATTAATAAATGATTAAAATGAGAGATAAACACAAATAAAGTATCCATCGTTGACCTTTTTTTAACTTTAATCTTGGCTCTCACATATATGAAGCGCTACATATATATATATATATATATATATATATATATATATATATATATATATATATATATATATATATATATATATATATATATATATTCTAATTTCAATTTCATTAGAACTACAATTACCACCGCGGGCGATATGCAGGTGCCGTCTTTATGTCACTTCTACGTGGTAGGTAATGTTTCTCGGTCAGGTGTGATGTTTAACTTGGTATTATATACCTTCACCCTTCGTACAAATCCTCAGCTGTCAAGGGGGTGTTCGACAGGACAACTTTTTAATAATGGAACTGAAAACATTAATTTCATGAACGTCTGTCCATTTGGCTATAAGAGAGAGAATACATTATATACCTACAATAAATGTATCGTTTCTTTTCATTTATTCAATCAACCATTTATACATACATACATACATACATACATACATACATACATACATACATACATACATACATACATACATACATACATACATACATACATACATACATACATACATACATACATACATACATACATACATACATACATACATACATACATACATACATACATACATACATACATGCTTACATCGGGTTACTGTTCTTTAACAATTTGTCTAATAATTACAGTCCTGGGTTTAAAATTATAACAAATGATTTAAAATCGGTTGCACCACATATTTTTTTAAATTAGTCATGCAATATCGTAATCAGACATAACATAATACACGTCATGTTGAATACACTTGTCTTAAGTTTCAAGTTCCCACCAGAGCCTCTAATTTAAAAAGACTAAGAAGTAGGTAATGTTAAAATATGACACCTTTATTTAATGCTTATAATATCATTTCATCCACAAACAAGGCTTCAATTATCAATGACAACCTGTATCATATGTTCGCATTTAATAAATTCAGGTATGACCACACCGAGGTGAATTATTCATCAGAACTATATTGAAACGTAAACCCATGGTACGCAAATGGAAATGAAAGGCGAGGATCAATTTAATGAGCAGAATATATATATATATATATATATATATATATATATATATATATATATATATATATATATATATATATATATAGAGAGAGAGAGAGAGAGAGAGAGAGAGAGAGAGAGAGAGAGAGAGAGAGAGAGAGAGAGAGAGATGAAGGCAAATCATTTACTTGGTTTAATGTAAATAATTACGAATTAATAGTAAGTGAATTTACTCTAAAATATATAGAAAGATCAGTCAAATTCACAAATAACATCTTTTGTTCATAATTACATAGTTGGAAATAATAGTTAATTTTATAGCATCACATATCATGAACAATATATTAAAATATACCTTATTAAACAATGACCGACATGATTATATAAAGAATCATTTTATATCCATT